CCCAAAAGCCCCCCCCTTCCCCAGGGGTTCTGCCCCACCCCAGTACCCCTTGTGTGTGTTACTCACAGACAGGGTCTTCCTGAGCCGGTGCCTTCAACACCCCCAAAGGGCTGGCATTAAAAGAGAGAAAATCCCTTTATAAATGTCATAGCCCCCCACCCGCAGGGAGATTCCACAACACACCCAGAGAGCCCCCCATTGTGCCTCACACTGAACCCTGTTCCCTAACCGCCACCCCCCAACACAACAGGGGGCTTGTGTCCAGGGACGGCGCTTTGAGATCATTGGGAGAACCAAGCCCTGCTGAAATGATCAGCAGCAGAAGATGTAATGATGCTGTAATTGCAACAGATGTCATTAGGTTCCAGAGTCAATGACATGTCACTCTGAATCAGTGGGTTCAAGTGTTAACACCATGTCTATCTGGACTGAGAGATTCCAGGGTTAATGCTACACTGGGCAGCACCCCAGCGAAAGGGGAGCTCTGCTTCTGAGCCGTTCTGCTGAGCTGGCTGTAAACTCAGGGTACATGGGGTCATTATCCCCGGCGCCATTCTCCCAGGGAGATACGCACCGACCTGTGCCCCACAAGGGTGGCTTTGTGGTGCCGGTGGACAGCAAAGCAACCCAGTTTGTGGGGCCCCTGTGGTGGGGCTTTTTCCAAGGCTGGTTTGATGGTGATTCCCCCCGGCCAGCCCCGGTACCTGGCCTCGTGCTGCCTGGGCGGGTGGGAGCTGGCGTCATTCCTGACTGAGTTGGGTCAGTTCTCCCTGTGGGAATAGAACCAGCATCTGTCAGGGGTGTGGCACGAGGCTGAGAAAGCTGGAGCCCTGGTGTCTGTGGTTAGTTATACAGGCCGGCCCCAGTGACGAGGCCGATACAGGGGCCTGCAGGAGTCTCCTGGATGCTTTTCCCCCAAATCCAAGACCGAGAGAGCTGGGCTAGCGACACAAGAATCAGAGTTCGCCGGTGTAGCAGGAACTGCTGGGTAGGGTCACACTGGGAACTATTGCTGAGCTCGCCTGGACAGTAACTGCCATTGGCTGAATTCAACCCACTTCATGGGCAACAATTTACATTCATGAAGCACCAGGATCTGGTGTTAGAACGTCCAAGGCACTAGGCCAGAACCCACCGCTCTACGGTCCCTTCGCGGCTTCTCTGTTCTTAGGCTGGTTTGTTGCAGCTTGAGCCATCCCCTGGCGCCGTCTCTGTTTGCTGCTCTGAGTTCCAGCTCAGATACCTGCAGCTATTTCTCCAGGCGATGGGTCGGCTTCTCAATCGAACAACTGTCCCTCCGCTGCTTTATCTAGAGTCCCTTTGCTGTGGGACAATTTCTCCCTTCCTGTCGCTGCACCTGAAGGTTCTGGGCGGACGTTTTGTCCGTACGATTGGTTTTACTTTCACTCCAGCTCACTTCCTCCTCATTTCTCCAGCCCGTTTCTCTTTGCTCACAGCTGGTTTCCGTCACGTTTCATTCGCGCTTTACTTCTCCTGCAGTTTTCTAACAATTCCTTTGGTAACTTAGAGACTCTTTTTTCTTCGTGTTTCACTGCCCGGTTCTTCCTTTAACTTTCCCCCTCATGCCTCTGTGTTTCCTCTGTCTGCCTCCCCCTGTTCCTGTCATCTCTGTCCCCTCTCAATGGGACTTTCTCCCTGCCAGCTCTCTGCCTGGCCCCTTCGATGACACAACTCGGCCACGGGGTCCCTTTCCCCTGGCTCCCCACTCACAGGGTCCCTGCATTGCTGGTGCAGGTTTCTACCTCGCTGGCTGCTGGTGTCTCTCTCCCGGCATCTGGGCCCCATATACCCATAGTAACACCAGCCATTCTCCCCACCCAGCCCCTGCCCTTTGTGTCTCCCCCATGGAAGCGGCTCCTTGAGCAGAATGAGCCTATTTAACTGGCCGAGGGGGCCCCCTTCCCTGCCCCCGGGCCAGCTAGAACCTGGAGCCCCACCCCTGCCACCAGAGCAACCCTAGTCCGGCCCCAGTCCCGGGTCAGCCCCACCAACTGCCAACTGACCTGAGCCCCAGCCATGCTATGCCGAGCGACCCCAGCCCTGTGCTAGGCCTGAGCAGCCCCCAGCCCCCGACACCAGCCCAGCGTCTCTCGGCAGCAGCTCCATATTATACCGGTCACCTGTGCCGTCTCCGCTCCGCAGCCGGGCGTCCCTCTGCTGGGCCCAGAGCTCAGGACAGAGCCTGCTCTGAGCATCCCATCAGCATGGAGCCCCCGCCGAGGGTCTGGCTGGGGGTGGGGCTGGGAGTGGCGACGTCGATCTGGGCCCCACATCTGCTACTGCCAGCTCCATGGGGTCACTGGGCTGCGAGGAGATGAAGGGCTCTGATCGGGGTCGGTAGCTGCAGCTGTAGTTCCCTCCGTGCTGGCGGCCCACGGTGGGGATGCGGAACTCGGCCCTGTTCCCAGCAGGGTCCATGTGTCGCTGCGGGTTCAGGTCTCCAGCCTTGTGCAGGAAGAACCTCACGTCCCGGCGCTGCCCCTGACACCGGATGGTGACGTTTGCCCCTGGGGCAGTGACCCCAGTGGGGCTCAGAGAGATGGAGGGTCTGGGTAAGTTGGGATCTGCGCACAGGAGACAGGCTGAGAGAGCCAGACCCAGGCACCCACCCAACCCTAGCCTTCCCGGCCCGCTCCAGCCACGAGCAGACCCAGGGGCCCGCAGGCAGAGATTCTCACCCAGATCCCAGAGCTCCCCGGACCTAGAATCTCGGACCTAGAGCTGGGCTCCCAGTAACTGTGGACGTTTCAGTTTGTGGGCGCTCAGCCTGAGATCCCCCAAGATTGAGGCCACCCCACAAGGAAGGACACTTTTGAAAACCCCGACTTACTCCCACCACACAGAGTCTGTGGCTGCACCAGGAGCTGAGCCAGATCTCCTGGGTCCCAGACCAGCACCGTGTCCACCAAGCCACCGCTTCTCCTGCAGCCCCTGCCTCATTCAGCTCTGGCTGGGTCACTGCCAAGGGCGGAGCCTGGAGAACAGAGGGGAAGGGATTTTGGGATTAAATAGTGACTCTCAGTTCCTACGCACAAAGGGCAGCGTTAAAGTTGCCTCCCTGCCCCGAGTCTCCAGGGGCTGCTGCTCCCCCCTGGCTGGGGAACCCCCCAATGACTCCGTCCCTGCTCCCCGGCCGGGCGTCCCCTCTGCGGGGTCAGGGCTCAGGGCAGAGCCCGGCTCTGAGAGTCCCATTGGCACCGAGCTCCCGTGAGGGTCTGGATGGGGGTGGGGCTGGGAACGGGGACGCCGAGCCGGGCCCCTCACCTCTCACCACCAGCTCCACGGGGTTGTTGGGGTACGACACGTTGAACTGCTCCGATCTGCTGTGATAGGAGCAGCTGTAGCTCCCGCCGTCCTCCCGGCTCACGTTGCTGATGGGAAACACAGCCCCAAACCCGTCCGAATCCACAGGTGGGAAATGGCGTCGCTCTTTATTCAGCACGAACCGTGCGCCCCGGCGCTGCCCCCGACACCAGACAGTCACGGTTCCCCCCAGGGAGACCCCCCCGCTGGGGCTCAGGTAGATGTTGGGTTTGGGG